AAACCAACTGTCTGAAATAAGACTGTCATGGATCTTGGAGTGTGTGTGTGTGTGACCATTGCAAGCACACAGGACTGTTCTGGCTCTTAGAGAAGTGCATTGCATATGGTGGTGATAATCTTATTCCTTGTGGGCAGTAAATCCGGGAGCTCCTTCACACTGGAGCATTCACAGTAGCTATTTCTAGGTAGATGAGCTTTGACTGCTCTCTACAGGTGCTTCCTGCTCTTTTCTCGACATGAATTAGACTTCTTAAGTACAGGGGGCCTGAATTTCCCCTTGCAGGTGTTAGAGTAACCAGGGTTTCAGTTGGTGCTGTGCACTTGTGGCTTTGCTAGAGAAGTATTGACTTGTTCTGAAAGCAGAGTGTGGTTTTCAAAACCAAAAGGATATTCTCACACACCAGTGACATCCTTACAGGTGCCTTCTGAATCACAGGCTAATCTGTAAAATAGTCCCTGTAACAAGGCACTGCCTTGATAAGGGAATACATTTGATCATGACAGAAATTGCTGCTTGCAGAGGATGTGTAGTGTGTGAATATTATGAAGTTATTTAACGAAACAGAAAGCTTTGTGCTGGAATCTCATTCCTGGGAGTGCTCAGGCACACTCTGCTTACACAAATATAGCAAAAAGTCAGACCTTCAGCTGCAACTAGAGCTCACTGCACTCCTACAAGCTGGTCTGATGTTTGATCTCTTCACAGATGAATCTACAAATAAAAAGCTGCCAAGTCCTTTTAACTTTAAGGTAATGACTCTTATAGCCTCATGTGAAATTGCAAGTTGAGTTTTTAAGTGTGTTTGTATTTTTCTTTGTTTTGTCACATGCTGGTGCTCTGCTCTATGCTTGCCTTGGTGTTTTTCTGTCACAAATCTGGGCTGATGTCATCAGACACAAGGATATCTTTTTCAGTCACCCCTACCACCCCCCAACAACATTCTAAATGGTTCCATTTAGAAGATGAAGTGCTCACAGAAGACAAATTACCAGGCTCTCACAGTGGCTAAGAAATACTATCTATGTGTGGTTCTCTCATTGGGGTTAAAGAAGGGTATAGCACAGAAATACGCAAAAACTAGATGGGAGCACTTCAAATTGACTGTAGGAATTCCTGTGAACATTAGAGGAATTTAGGCATGTTCAGGTGTGGTATTTGCTGGAAGCTGTGCAGCCTCACTCAGGTGCTTGGTGGGCAAAAAGCACTCGGTGTGGAAAGATGTTGCTCTAAAGAACATGGCTTGGGCTGTGCTTATGAGTTGATTCTTTGTGTGTCACTTTAACATCTATTTTTTAAATAGTTTATATAAAAATAGATGTTATTTTATGTGCTCTGTGAGCAATCCAGTCATTCCTTGGTAAGAGTCAGTAATGCATCTTATTTGTGTAGCCATCGGCAGCCCTGAGAAGAGTTAGCATTGCAACACTGCCCAGGAGTGCTGGGAATGCAGGGATTGGGTTGCCACTGGTAAGTAGGACTTCCCAGGTGGATGGTGAGGTGCTCCACCTCCACAGAACTGGCTGGGCTGAAGCATAAGGATGGCAGTGCAGTAAGCATGTCACACTTCTCCTCCAGGCCCAGTTCCACGAAGCCGATGGAGATGAACGGAGTGAAAGATTCAACAGGAGATCAAGCAGCTGGTAAAGTTTCTTGGGCTTGTCTTTGAACAGGGTGAAATATTTTCCAGCTTTAACTGTGCTTGCAGTAAGCAGCTAATGGAGCATCTTGAGGAATAATAGTGTTTAGGCTGCACATTTCACATGAGTTTTCTGTGCTACAATAGGTAAATGAGCTTTTATGGCTAAATCTTACAGCTATTTTTAATGATTTATTATGGGCTGAGAGCTTAAAAATAATCCCAAAGCACCTTAATTTTCTTGCCTTAGAACTAAAGTATGAAATCTGGGTATCTGTCATTGGTAGATCTGATTCTTTGGAGTTCTTTGGGTTTGCTTTAACATTAAGGCCTTAAGGTGTTTTTATGGCCCTGCCTGAGGTCTCACCGAGTGAGTAGGCTGCTGATGAATTTCTGATTTCCTGCTATATATCTGATGGGGAAATTATGGCCAATTTGTTTAAAATATGACAGGGGGAGATTAGGAGCAAAGCAAAATGAGAAACGCCCTTCGCTGCAGAGATTCCTGAGCACCTACTCCTGGGCAGAGTATGAAGAGGAATATTTTGAAACCAAGTAAGTCCAACAGTAAGCTCCTCCTAGGTGTGAGTGCAGGGTGGGCTGGTTTGTTTTTAATGAACACCTAATTCTCAGCCACATGATCAAACTGTGGTGAATTTAGCTTGAATGCTGGTGGCAAAGCTTTGGAACTGTTGACTCTTGCTTACAGACAGGAGCAGTCAGAATTACCTGCTGAAGTACAGGAACAACCAACCAGGAAGGAAAGTGTCTCTGAAAAAGGAAAACATTCATCAAAATGGACCCTGGAGTCAGCGTAAGTTTTCTCACACACTCTGATGTGAAGCAATGTTTGGGTGTTGGACATGGGAAGAGGAAGCAAAGCTGTTGCTGTAGTTGGGTTGTTGATGCCCATAGCTTAAACTAATTGCAAAAGAGTACTCTGATGCCAGAGACTCACACCCCTCCAGGAATTCACTGCTAATCCTAAATGTGAGGTGAAGGGGAGCCTCATGCCCTGATCTCACTTACTGTGATTACTCTGTGAGAGCTAAGGTCATGCTAAGGTGTCATCCTGTAAAAATGATCAAGGGTTTGAGGCTTGTGTGGAACTCACCAGCAGCTTTGGCACATGCTGAGACACAAGTAGTTATTCAGACTCACTCCAGCCTGTCCCAGCTAATGTCTCTGAATATCTGATGTCAAGGAAGAGCATGCTGCCCTGCACCTTGGAAGCTCCTCCTTAGAGGAGAGGGGCTATGTTGTCTCTGCAGAGAAACCATTTATTCCATATGTGCATATGCTAAACCTCTCCTGGGAGCATTCCGAGACCAGAAAATGCTGCCAGTACGTGAAAGGGAGAAGACAGCAAGGGCAAACATATTTCTTTTTTCTCTAGTTTCATAAAGGGTGGAGGTACCTAAATTCAGGAGAGGTCTAGAATTTGGATAGCCAGGGAGGGTAAGAGTTCTAATCTCCGGGAAGGCACTAAAGCCCTAGAAACCAACAGAGGAAAGGGTCAGCATTTTCCATGCTTTCTACATGCAACATCTGATGGTTTTGTAAGGCAGATATTGTGAATCCTCTTCAGAAGAAGCATGGTACAGGGAGTACAGGTGGACTGGTAAGTGGTGTCAGTCACCTAAAATTGGTGTACTTGAAGATGCATTTTAAACCCAGAACATAAGCTGTCTCTGTACACAGCTCCCAGGACAGTAACAACCTTGTCGCTTTTGATGGCTAAAGATCTGAACGTTTGTGGGGTCTAGTTTGCTTTGGGGTTTCTGGTGGTGGGAAGAGTGCTTCCAAGTTCTGAAGGAAAACTGAACCTTTCTCTGACTTGCTCTTCTGCACAGGTACAATTTAATGTCATCGTGGGCATCCCACCTCAAGGCTTCCTTTTCCAACGCTAACAAAACCCTCTGGTTCTCTGTTTCCATCCTGGTTCTCCTGGCTGCTCTCACAAGCTTCCTCACAGGGCTGTCCCTCCAGAGACCAGCAGATGCAGCACCTGTAGGGACTGGGGACTCCTGGATGTCACTACAGCAACTGCTGTGGCCATACACAGGACTTCAACACAATGGCCCTCCCCCGGTATAACCGAGGTTCTGACTCCTGGAGTTGTACTTCCAAGTTCTGGATGACAGGAGGAGAAGCTGAGATAGTTTATTTAAGGTTACATGTTTGGATTGTTGTTGGGTTTGGGGTATTTCAGGGGAAGATAATTTCTTTTCTTTAAAGCATGACTTGAAATGAAAAAAATATATTTTTTTCTCCATTCTGACTAAAGTCATTTTATAAATAGCTAAAAGGGTCTCAGCTCTTCAGGTTTACAACAAAACAGCAATTTTGAACATAGCTAACAATAAAGAGGACTAAGTGATATAGCAAAAAAACCCCATATTTTGCTTGAACAAAGAAAAATGTTTGCATTTTAGTCACTGAAGTTGTTCCAATTAATTGAATAGAAAAGGATTCAAAAGTTTAAGTGTAACTTTATTGAAAGCTTTTGATAATAAAGTTTTGAAGGAAAGCCTGTGAAATTTAAGAGTATGTTAGAACTCTTGTAGCAAGGAGCAGCTGATATACGACATCAATAAACAGGTAGTTAGCTCTTTCCACTTTAGCCATTGCTTCTTCGCTGGCAAAATCCTTAAGCATATGGTAGAGTGTGGAGTGAAATTCAGAGTCATCCTCCAGCTCTTCTGAAAAAGCTGCACTGGTTTCAGTGATCTTGAGTTTTTGTGCTTTCTGACCATTAAACATGTAAAGAGACCAGCTGTTGTCTTTGACAGAATCTGTTTTAAGCTGCTCGCTTACCTATTGCAGGAAAAATGTGCTGTAAGATGAAGTCTGTGACAGTGACAGAGTATAAATTCTAAATTCGAGTATGAAGTTCTAAATTTTAGTGTACTTGTGAGTATAATACAGAAACAAAACTAGAGTGCTGCTTTGAACCCCTAAAAGCTCTCTGTGCCTGTTACCAGGTACTGTATCAACACCTTCTGATTTGCCTCTGTAAAAGGCAATGGCTGGGACTCCAGCTGCTGCTCCTGACACCTGGGGGACAGTACCATTTGGTTTAGTTCTACAGCCTGAGATTGATTGATTATTAGACTAAATCTTTGTGTCACATGCATTTAACTTGAGAGTGAGAGCTGCTCAAGATTTCAACAGTATGATGTGCTCTGTACAGCCACAACTGGTAGTACTTCTCTGGCTGGTTGGGAGAAGTTTTCACTATGTGTTTTAGTTCACAGGAAGAAATAAATCAACAACAGAGCCAAGAAGAAATTTCCAGATATAATTAAAGATCTCACAGGTCAGAGTGCTCTAGGGGCAGGGGCTGAAGCATTTGCCATGAGCATAACGTCTATAAGGTAATTGTTTCTGTCTCTCTAACTGTGCTAGAGTTCTATGCTGGATTGCTCTACAAGTTTAGTCTAAATCCACAAACCTTGAACACTACTTGCTCTTGACCTGCTTCTACATTCCACTTGCTCCAGGCAAAAGCAAAAGCAGATGCCACCAGAGCCATTTGTTGATAGGCCTTAACCTCTGCCAGGGCAGCCTGTAAGGCAAAAGTACAAGTCAGACATTGTGTATCTCAGTCACTCTATTTCCCTGTTGTTATACAAATGTAAGGAAAAGTTTGCTTTAACAGCATCCCCTGGCTTAGCTGCCAAACGCTTGTATACATGCCACCTGGTTCTGCACAGCAGGTCTTCATGCAAGAAAGGGTTACTTAAATGAAAAATGGGTTGAGGAAACCACCATCCACTCTTGGCCTCACCTTCTTCTTCAGTGGGACGTACTTGTGAGAATGCTCTTCTGGGAAAATGTTCACACCAGCTCTTTTCAGAGCTGCTCTTAGTGCAACTGGACTCATCCATTTTCCTGTGATATGGGAAAGCACATCCTTCTCCTCCACCACTACTGAAGACAACATACACTGATGACCCTGTGGTACAAACCAGTGACAGCAACTTACTGGTCAGGGAAGCTATTTTCTTCTTTAGGCATCAGATATTAATGTCTTTGCTATTCTAGGTGTTACATACATTATCTCTGGGCTGTGAAGAAAACCACTTTGCTGTAGGAATTCAGAAAGTATACAGAGGTACAGCTCTGTACCTCCTCATAATTACTCTCTTCAAATTAGGCCTGTTAGTGAACTGATTTATACAGGAATGACCATCTGGATCATTGTGTCATTGAACCTTTAAAAGGAACAAGCAGCATTAGTAATAGGCTGCTTGAAATGCTTTTATTTCTCCTGTTGAGGCTGGGAGGAGAGAAGAACAATTTTCAATTCTCTGCCTCATGAAACACTTGGCTGCAGCACAGTAGGATCAAATCAAAGTACATAGTGGAACTTTGCAGAGCAATCCCAGGCATTTTTTCTTCTCACCAGCTCATAGGAAATAACTGAAATTAAATAACTCTTACAGTGCTTGGAAAGGAAGAACTCCTCCCTCATTTTCACTGGCACACAGATTCAAACTGCTCTTGTGGAAGCATCCCACATTCTTAATAAAAGACACTGTAATAATTCTGTACTTAGAAAAAAATCTGCAAATCTTTGATTAAAGATTACCTTAATCTGTATCTGAATTGTTGCAAAGACTGCAGTAACTGCAAGGAGTGCCTCATCCATGCCAGTAGGTTGCAATTCCCATGCCTGATAGGGCATGTTGAGATGAGCATCCTGAAGAAGGGCTATGGTGTAAAAGGCATCCAGCTCAAAGGTGATGCTCTTGCCTTGTGTTTTGTATGTTGTATTCTTGATGCCATCAGTTCTCCACTGCTGACCTGTACAAAAGGGATGCAAAAATACAAAGATGCACATGTAAAGCTTCTGCTAGTGGTACATGCTGGGGCAGAGTTGGTTGGCAAAGTCACCTCAGGTTAACTAATATTCACTTATAGTTAAGAAAAAACATTGGGCACAAAATAAAGATAATTAATTTAGGGTAAAAATCCCCTTAATTGTCTCTAAATACAAGATTGGGCTAACTGTGGCAGGAAAGGTTCTGCTTCATCTCAAAACACACGCAAATACTAACGTAACCTTTGTTTCTTACTTGCTATGCAGCTCATATATACCCCAACCTCATTTCCAAGAGGAACTTCAACCACCAAACTATTTTATTAATAGGTTCTCCTCTCTTTTATGAATGTAAAGTCAGAGTTATGTTCTATTTGTTTACTAACTAGAATATTGCAGTTGGGTCTTAATGTATAATTTTCACATTGTAACTTAATACTAATACACATAGCTAGTTTAGCTCAACATGAACTTCTCCCAGCAAAACCTGATTTGTGGTATTCCTTTGTACTAGTGCCCATTAAATGGTGTGTAATTTTCCTATTCATATCAAAAACCTGCAGTAAAAAGTTTCAACAAACACTCCATTATCAGATGTTAAGCTGAAGTAAAATTGAACCAAATAAAACCCCAAAACCCAACTAAAGCAATTAACATTGAAGAACTCAAATTATTTCTGGGCTCTAAATTGGCTCTTTACAGCTGCATTCTGACACTAGTCAAACTCAAGTATAAATTCCATTATTCAAACTTAGAATAAGGTAATGTTAGAAAAGGCTATGTTTATACCTGCAGGATCCCACCTGGCTACCAGAGGAGGCTGAAAATACATCACATTGTCAGGAAGTCTGAGGGTTATCTGGATTGGGGGATGTATGCCATCCTCAGCCTCGTCTGGGGGATATGGGTATTCCTCCAACTTAACATCAAGTACCTTTGTCAAGATGGAAAAAGACAGATAACATTTTATGGGACAATGCAGTAGCCTACTTTATTCCTCATCCTTAAGTCCACCTGATCACCACAGAGTTCCCTAAGAGACATTTAAAATGTATTAGTAGTAATGGTATTAGAATTAATGGTTTGCTAAGATTGCATTTCCAACGCTGAAGGCAGTAGAAAGGTGACTACCAATAGCCCTTTGAACCCTTCAGGTGCTGCTGAGGGCACCTTAAGACAGTGCCACACAGTAAGCACAGTCAGCTTCTAATAGATCCACAGGCTCAAAAACCCAAGAGCACCTGAGCCTCAAGAGCAGGTGTAATTCTTCTCTGTCCACAGTGTCTGACAGGTCAGGTGTGACTGGCAATGCAGGTGTGTGCTCAGCTGGGAATGCAGATCCCATTCCTCTTGATCTGCCCACAGTCCTGCTGCCTTAGTTTGTGTGGGAATTTTGCTTACTAAAGGTTTGCAGCTTCACAGTCAAAACAGAGATGTAGGTTAGCACTGCACCAAGCTCCAGCAGTGGAAAACTGGAACACTCTGACTACAGCCCTCAAGTACCACCCCTTGCAGAGCCTGGAACTGAAGTGGCAGGAATTTTGTTACCCTCCTGCTTTTAAGTGTAGCTTTCATATAAAACTCTAACAACTTCTCGCTTTGCTTTTACTTTGGCCAAGAGCATTTTCATAGCATATTAAGGAGCTGGAATGCACCTCAGATATCATCTAGTCCCAACCCCCTTACCATGGGCAGGGTCACCTCCCACGAGATCAGGTTGCTCAAGGCTTTATCCAACCTGGCTTTCCAGGGTTGGGGCATGCACAACTTCCCTGGGCAACCTGTGCCACTGTTTCACCATCCTCACAGTAAAAAACTTCTTCCTAATATCTAATCTAAATTTCCCCTCTTTCAATTTATCCCCATTACTCCTTGTCCTATCACTGCAGTTCCTAACAGAGTCCTTCTCCAGCACAGCAATCCATGCCAGCCATGCTGCTGAGCACTGACTGAGCATACACCTCTCCTCCAAGTGCAGGCTGAGCTGTCTCCCTCAGATGCTCCAAAAGTTGGCCAAGTGTGACTGAAAAATGACTTGCAAAACTTGCCTGTTTAGTTTGCTGCTCAGGAAATCATGTGCACTGCCTGGGATGACACACTTCAGGGACAGCTCTCCAGGGCTGACAGGGAACAGGCCTGGATGGGGTAATCCCTTTCCTCACTCACCTCCACCATGCTCCAGTCCTTGATTTGTTTGGCCTGAGGTGGAAGCTGCAGTGCATTGATGTGATACACACCACCCACAGGCATGAACTGCTGCAAATCAACAATGGTTTCACCAGTTATTGCCTCTTCTTTGTCTCTTGTCTCTTCCTGCATCAGTGGGTCCTGTACTAAAACACAACCAAACAACAGGAGTTTACCTGGTGCTCAAACTAAGGCACTGAAATTTCCCACCTCTATTGTTTGTCACTTCTGCACAAGTGCTTTACATTCTGCAGCACTTCAGCCCCATCTGCTGGTGTTCCTCAAAGCCTGAAACAAGTAACTGCACTGTGGAGAAAGACAGACATCTGGGAAAGGAAAAGCATTTCTTGTTTTGGTCCTGAGCTTTTTAACAGATGATTCTCCTCTCAGTTTGTAACCGATTCATAATGCTTTATATAGGAATAAGGTTTTCCTGACATAACAAGTAACTTCATTAACTACAGAAGAATTTCACAAGCATATAATAGTGATTCTGGACAGGTTTGTATTGGTATGAAAAGAAATGAGGCAAATAAAAAGATGTAAGGCACCAAAAGGTCATGTGCTGAAGGTGAAAGATAATAATTATGAAGAGCAAAACTACTCATTGCCTCAGGCTAAATAACTTAACAGCGTTAAGTCAGACCAAACCCAGAGAACTGCAGCAGTTCTCACTCTTGTTTCACCTAATACTATGGTATTTATCATGGATTTTCAAAGCCTCACAACTAGCAAGTTCCTTCAAATGAATCCCAAATCCTTCCTATTACCTTGAAAACCTTTGGATGGTCATTAGGGTCTTGTATGACCACTGGCTGCTTGGGTTGTGCTCAGCAGAAAGTGGTGTGGGCTGAGGTTTGGCTTTTTACAACAAGGAAAAGGCTGCACAGTTGAGCTTAATTACACTAACAGTTTGCAGTTGGTTGACTTGAGACAGAACTACAAGAAAACTCACTTATTAAACCAAGGGATGACACCACAACACTGAAGAAATTTGTAACTTATGTGGGACAGATAGATAAATAGTTTTATTTCCCAGGATTAGGCCTCCTGGGAAATCACGTACCTTGCTTTAAACACACATTTAGGGGACACTCAGTAACATCTCACACTACCTGAGTGTTACCATTACATGCATTGGAACCATGATTTTCATGAGGAAATAAATCACACCAGACAGACTAGCAGATTCCTAAAGATTGTGTGTCTCACCCTTAAACATGTGCAAAACAACACACAAATAATAATAATAAATGTGCACAGGAACATAAACATGAATAATAAATACAAGAAGATAAGTGTGGGGACAAACTCCATTTTCCTATCTGTCCTGTTCTTTCCCCCCATTTAACAATCATTAATAGAAATGTCAACAATGTGTTATCAAAGCACCAATATGTTTATAAACTTTGCTCCATTCACCTAGAGATCTATATTGCAATGTTTCCACATATCAGAGAATCCTGGAATCACAGAATGGTGGATTGAAAGAGACCTTATTGATCTAGCTTCAACCCCCCTGCCATGGGCAGAGACACCTCCCACTAGACCAGGCTGCTCCAAGCCCCATCCAACCTGGCCTGGAACGCTGCCAGGGATGGAGCAGCCACAGCTTCTCTGGGCAACCTGTGCCAGTGCTTCATCACCCTCACCTCATGATATATATATGTATATATATAAAATACTTAGCATAAGTACTTTTGCAATGCTGCACAGAAAACCTAACCAAATACCTTGTGATGGTATGTCCAAGTTTTCTGATTTCTCCTCAGTTTTCCCCTCTGTCTCATTTCTATCAGCTGTGCTGCCGCTGCTTTCTTCCAATGAGGCAACATTCTGTAAAGAGCAGAAGGTATTGATATATATATGTATATATATAAAATACTTAGCATAAGTACTTTTGCAATGCTGCACAGAAAACCTAACCAAATACCTTGTGATGGTATGTCCAAGTTTTCTGATTTCTCCTCAGTTTTCCCCTCTGTCTCATTTCTATCAGCTGTGCTGCCGCTGCTTTCTTCCAATGAGGCAACATTCTGTAAAGAGCAGAAGGTATTTTTCCATTAGTCAGAGACAATAAAGAGGACATCACCTCCTTCAAGAAGGTCCAAAGAGAAAGAATACAGTTCTACTCCTCCAACAACATTTGTACCAATCTTGCTACAGGGTCAAGGCTTTAGGAGAAATCAGTTTTTTGATTTCTACCTAGTTAGAAAAAATAGCTTTGATTAAAGGTACTCTCCAATTTGGAACTGGATATATAACTAGACATAAAGCAATTACTTCATTCCCACAGCAAACTCCATCTTGAGCTCCCCAAGTACCATACAAGCACTCAAAAATTATGTTTATGCTGACTTTCCACCCAGCAGAGTGGCACAAAGTAAGCCAAGAGGCTGAATCCAAAGCCACACTGTGCCAGAACCCTCACCTGCAGTTTTAGCCTGTTCCTTGTCCAGGATGTTTATTCCCTTTCCCACACTGTGTTTAAGCATTCATCTGTACCACAGCAGACTCCTTTGGAAGCACAGCAGCAGGCAAAGGGCAGTTCAGGGTATGAACCATCCATCTGGAGGCACAGGCACCAGTGTGCCCTGTGTGTGCCTGCCAGCATGTGGGAAGAACACACACCTCCTCAAACAGGACAGAAGGTGAGAGGACAGAAGCTAAGAGAATTGGAGACTTCAGAGGGAAGAGGAAAATTCACAAAACTGGATGGAGAGAAAGAGTGGGAAAGAAAAAGAGATGAAATAAAATGAGCTTGATGAAAGACTGAGAAATGTAGGTGAAAACTGCCAAAAGATAAGATTTGTTGTTAAAAAGAAAGATAAAAGGAACCAAGAAAGATGGAATTTCAGGCATTGATTCACTACAAAGGTGCAGAGGACTGAAAGGAGAAAAGCCAAGATCATGGCTCCAAACAGAAGGCAAAAAACCTGATGTTTGACAGTTATTTCTGCAGAAATCTTAGCCAGAAAATAGAAGTCATTTTTCTGCAGGTCACACATGATACCCAAAGTGAAAAACTCAAAGCCAGTAGGAAGAATGCAAAACCAAACAACCTCCACTACTCCTAAAGCCAACATATTCCATGGAAGAGTGCCAAGGAAGAGAACAGGCAGCCAGAAAGAGTATTTGAAAAATCCTGTAACTTAAAAGGGTCAGCAGACAGACATGGAGCAGCCAAGTACCTGCACAGCCAACACCTGCT